CAATGGCACACTGATTCACGATCAGCAACGCCGTCTTGACCGTTGGGCTGAACATTTCAAGGCTCAGTTCAACTGGCCCCATGGACACCTTATCTTTCACTCTCCGCCTCGACTGGGCAAATAATCCCAGTTGATGCTAATCCTCCATCTGAAATGGAAGTTTCTCGGGAAATAAGGTGTCTCAAACTGAGGCCTCTGGCCCAGATGGGCTGTTCCCATCCGTTTTTAAGGATGGAGGTTCAGCGTTAGTCTTGGGGTTGACAAAACTCCTGGGTTCAATATGGGAAAGGGAGGAGGTTCCAACTGAATGGTGTGAGTCGGTGATCATACTGATTTACAAGAAAGGTGATAGATCCTCTCGTGAAAACCACAGAGGAATTAGTTTAATGAATATCGTCTCTAAACTTCTCGCTGGCATCATACTCTGCCGATTGTCTACCGCACGTGAACTGTGCACGCGTGAGAACCAGGCTGGTTTTAGACCTGGTCGAGGTTGTATCGACCACATCTTCATTCTGCGCCAAATTCTGGAGCAACGGCATTAGTTTCGTAGACCCACCATCTCTGTCTTCCTATGTCTGAAAGCGGCTTTTGACTCAGTCGACCGCTCTAAACTCAGGCGCTGCCTTTTTCTGAAAAGTGTGCCCGAGAAGTTAATTTCAATATTACGATCGCTTTATACTAATAGCCGAAGTCGAGTCCGGGCTTACGGCACTTTTTCGCCCGAGTTCACCACGGAAAGTGGTGTTCGTCAGGGTTGCCCTTTCTCTCCATTTATATTTAACTTTGTTATGGATTTGATTATGGAAACAGCCTTATCCTCGTGCGAGGATGGTGGCATCGATTTACTCCTAGGTGGCAGGCTGTCTGATCCAGAGTTTTGGGTATCCGCGGTCGCCCAATGGAGCAAGTGGTCGAACTCCATAGATTACGTTGGTTGGGGCATGTTTTACGCATGTTATCAAATATATTACCAGGGCGAGCGATGTTCGCCGAAGCAGATACCGAGTGGAAAAAAGCCAACGGTGGTCAACGCAAGACCTAGCACGAGGGTATGAAAACCCTAACCAGGAGACTGGGTCATATAGGTCCTGTTAGGCTCCCCGAGTGTGGACCTTAAGAGGATCGTAACCGATGATTAGAGACACTGAGTGATATGGCTAAGTGTCATAAACAGTGGTGTTTGTGTATCTTCCTAATTTCTTTGCAACCTTATTCCACTGAAGTGCTCCATTTTCTATTCGACTCTACTTTCAACTCTCTTGTCATTCTCATACTGCTTCATCCAAATGGGCGGCCAAAAGATAGCAACCAAAACCGGAGCGCGAAAGGCAAGGTTAATGGTTGTACAAACTGGACTGAACGTTAGTAGGATTCGCTGGTCAGGACACTTGTTGAGTAAGTTCAACTGTCGTCTACCTTACCGAGCCTTGTTCGCTGTGGCCGTTCCGGGCTCAACGAAAGCGATGATGTAGACACGATTCATGAAAAATGCACAGCAATTACGTTGCTATTCAAAAGGATCTAAGACTAGTTGGTTGGAGACACTGAAGGATTCGGCAGCGAAATCATAGTACTGGCGTTCTTTCCATTTCTTATCAAGCTTGAAAATATACCTGTGAACAGTTAGATTGTGTACTCTGTGTTGTACAAAGAAGTCCTCTTCGCTGTACGATCATGATGATGTGTCTGGCGTACATTGGCAACATGAAACTGTAGAGACCAGCTACTCAGAAGGCGGTAGAGACCCGCTGAAATGAGGCTTTGAAGCCCTCGACTAGTGGGTTGTAGATTGAGTGCGACTTCTGTATCCATAAAAGTGCGTGTAGCACCATTAAGTAGGTCAGACGCCCACAATCTCAATTACTTTCTCCTGAGATAGTTCAACTGTGACACCTAGGTGTATACGTCACTGACATTGCTAAAAATAGAGAATACATTGACAAAATACGCACGAACCTCAGGAAGATGATGAGCTTTATATGAAGGTCATTTGAGAGTCTGTTGCTGAAGATCGTAAAGCCGTTTTTCATTGCACAAAGCCATCCAAGGTTGGAAAACGGAAGTATAGCCGCGTAGCTATTCAATAAGGACGAAATGAGTTAACTGGGGAAGGTGCCAAGGGATAGTAATCGACTGGTACATGTATTTAGAGGAGAGGAATACCAATGACATTTAGATGCACTCGGTATTTTCTCCCTTGCACAGTACAGTACGACTAGACAATCCTAAAATCGAGTTCGGTAGGTGTTTCACTGGAACTGCTTTTAGTGGAGAGCTACTAGCGATTCAAACGCCCTACCATCTTGGAACAATTGATCATGCACAACCCATCTCTCCTCCAATGGTGAGAAGGTTTGACAAAGAAGCTACACCAATAACAATGAATTCTAATGTAGAGCCTCTCATCACGATAGGTCTTACATGAAATAGATGCACATCCCAAATTAAACCTGCTAAGCTGAACTTTTTCCACATTTAATTCATAGCTACTTGTGATTAATGGCTCGATAAAGCTAGAACTGACTCAGAATGACCATCCAAAAGGTTTATCTTAATGCAAAATACTTTAATGCAAAGCGATTCAATTGGATCCGCAGGAAATCGTATCCCGAGCTAAAAAACTAAGCTCTGTTTCAACACTCCATCCGATTGGGATTGTCGCCGCGGTGGTTCTGTAGTTCTGAATTTCCGAGGTCCACGCTGACAGGGATTGCTTGGGCCTGAGAGAAGTGCACTTTACCCGAAATTGGGATGTTCGCTAAACTGAAATTTACGCTGACCTTGGACCAACATAAGCGACCTGCCACCAAAAAGATTCATGAAACCAACTTGATTGATTGATTGAAAATGAAACCATCGACGATGTTTAAACTGATCACTATTAATTTTAATAAACAGGTTACACTCAGAAGTGAAAAGCGTTTCCTATATGACGGAACCTTGATTAGAAGACGCCTTAGTCGCCTGTGTATTTCAGGTAGCAGAACGACTTGGTTAATGTATTATTGACTTCGTTCCTTTCGTCCTAAAGAAGGGGTGGTGGTGGCGCAGTTGTTTACTCAGTGTCACGGGCGAGCTTTTGGCCCTTTGGCTCCAAGTTTGAGCTC